GTTGGTCAATGTAAGGATATACTCGTACATATTATACTTATACTACCAATTGCGGTGCAGAGATCGCAACCCAGTCAAGAATTGCGGGATATTATCCATGAATGCGGGGGGAAAACAATAACAAAAGCAACAACTAGTCCCGGGGAATTGCTCTGGGTCAGTGTCTCTTTAACGCCGCACTCAGCAATATTCCTGCTATATGGCGGTGGTCTGTAAATAATCGAGTCTGGACCAGACAATTCAGTGAATCACAGCCATGTGGGGGGAAGTCGGTTCCACGAGCCATGATGTGGTCCAACAGATATGTGTGTCCACTCCAACTGCTGGTGAGGGTGCGATACATATTTAACGTCCAGCCATGATAGTTGAAGTGTGTTCTGTGCGCTGTGTGGTAATGTGCACAGATGTGTTCCTACTATATACGATCATCACATGCATAGTTGTTTTTGTTTGTTGTTTCAATGCCGCACTTAATGACAAAACAGCTTCTGTTCACGTGGTTGGCTTTGCTGGCTTGTTATTTAACACCGCACTCAGCAATATTCCAGCTATACGGCGGCAGTCTGTAAACAAGTGAGACTGGACCAGACAATCCAGTGATCAACAGCATGAGCATCGATCTACGCAACTGGGATACGATGGCATGTGCCAACCAAGTCAGTGAGTCTGACCACCCGATCCCGTTAGTCGCCTATAACGACAAGCATGGGTGACTGAAGATCAATATTCTAACCCGGATCTTCACGGGTACTACTGAAATGAACCTCATTTACACTCCGACCGCGTTCTGCGGCATTAGGGGCACATTTGCGTCATTATTATGTACAACATATATATGTGACATATATATATGATAAATACAATGGTAATATATACATAACGGTTGGTTGCAAGAATATATTATGTCTGTACATGCATTCAACCAGTTAAATGAACATGTTACAGTCATACGTTATTTTGTTTTCTTTTGGGGGGCATTATTTTAAACGAGACATTAGTATTTTTCAAAATATTGCTAATTTCCTAATTGTTCCCAGTTTATTGAAATGAAAAAGCTTGTTCAGTTTGGTGCTACTCGGGTTTGATAATTTGCACCCTCTTAAAATCTGAGGGTCAGACAATCTGCAATATCTAACCAATCCCAATGGTCTAACAATCACTGTGGTATAGCAATGAACACGGTTTAACAAACTACACTGACTGGCTTTCTCCATGATCTAACTATGGTGAAAACATATGGTGAGACCACGAAGAAAGGTAAATGATCAACACTCAAAATAAGTTCTTCATTAAAACACAAAATCTTTCACGCAAAGAAACATTGGTAAACCTACAACAACGACAGGCATTATTCCGCTATGAAAGAAGATGACATCGTTCAAACTAGCATGCACAAATTTTAGAAAAACAGTAACGCGAGAAGACATGAAATTGCACTCATCGACAGATGGACGTTAGCAGGTAAAACAACCCCCAGCCTAACAACGTGATGCGATCGTTACAGACTACAAGACCGCAGCTGTATGTTATATGATACCGTGTAATAGTATGATCAATGCGATATACTTGACGTCACAATCGAAAAACATATTGTGCAAACGACAGACGTTAGACAACAGGAACTACTTTTTCGATTCATACGCGGAAGCAATGCCAATAAAAGTTACCTGTGCGTTCATGCAGTTATACGTTAACAGACAGATGGGTGACTTCACGAACCCGGAAGTGTAAACTGTCACATTTTTTTGGCTCGCTAAAGACAAAATATGTAACTGACATACCTAATATTGGGTAATATAACCCTAGTATACTCATGCCAATAATGGTCGTCACCCCCTTCAATTTTTTAATTGGAGAGGGGGTGTGGGGTGGTTGGGCTGACAACCATTATTGGCATGAGTATATATTTTTATGTCAACAGTCAAAGATTCCCATATGTCATGTATATCTCCTTGTAGATCTGATGTTATGAACATTTGTTTTCAACTCTTGTGATACGAAGCCAAATGTTTTTAAATTCTTTAATGCTCAGAGCCTCTGTAGGTCATGTGAGTGACTGGATTTGGGTGTCGAGTTAACAATCTATCGTGGATAACGCGCTGAACGGGAGCTTTGCCGTCTTGAAAGATAAGAGAATCTTGAAGACAAGGGGAAATTTCCAGTAACCACTGGCCTCAGATTTTCCTTCACAACTGCTTGATATATCTGGGCATTTACCCTCCCTTCCAAGAATGTTAATGTCCCCACATCGTCAAACGTTATGTATCCTCAAAGCATAATTCGTTTTCCAGTGGGTAGACAGTGACATCATGGGTACCAATCTTCTCGCACACATAAATACGGTTGTCATTTCCACCTTAGATTCATCGCTAAAACTCGTCGTCTTCATATCTCTTCTTAAATTTACTGTAGTTTTTTGTATCATAGTGTTTGTGCAGTCGTGTGTATCTCAGCATGTTTAGCATTTATTGCATGAACAAGTGTGTGTATCGTATGTATGTATATATGTATGTATGTGCTTTTGTGTGTGACTGCTCGTGTGTGTGCGTGTTTATGCAAGTGTACACGTGTGTATGTGATGTATGGTGTGTGGGAGATTTTATGTTGTACGATCACTTGGGTGTATAGATGTGCTGATATACAAGGGTATGTTGGGGTTGGGGTTGGGGTTGCATGGGTGGATTGGGATGGGAGGCTATTTGTGTTTGTGTCAGGCTCAGGCTTGATGGGTGTCAGGGGGAATGCGTGCGGCCGTGTGAAGGTCTCTCTCTCTCTCTCTCTCTCTCTCTCTCTCTCTCTCTCTCTCTCTCTCTCTCTCTCTCTATCTCCCTCTCCCCTCTCTCCTCTCTCTCTCTCTCTCTCTCTCTCTCTCTCTCTCTCTCTCTCTCTCTCTCTCTCTCTCTCTCTCTCTCTCTCTCTCTCTCTCTCTCTCTCTCTCTCGTGACCCATACTTGTCGTAAGAGGCAACCAGCGGGATTAATCACAGGAGTGTCTGGTCCAGACTTGGCGATTGTACGGACACATGTGTCGGCGGGTTTAGGTTTTGGTGCTCATCCAAGTGATGGGGCGGTGGGGTAGTCTAGTGGTTAAAGCGTTGGCTCGTCACGCCAAAGACCCGGGTTCGAATCCCCACATGGGTACAATGTGTGAAGCCCATTTCTGGTGTCCCCCGCCGTGATGTTGCTGGAATATTGCTAAAAGTGGCGTATAACCATACTGAGTCAGTCAGTCAGTCAGTCATCCACGTGAGAGCTACAAACACTGTTCTGCGGTGGTACACGCCCTTTATATCTGAAGTAGGTTCCTGTCTGAATATCAATCTGTGTGACAGAAGTTACATATGTTCGATAGTCCTTGTATGTATCTGCCGGTGGATGGAATTGGGGAGTGTCCGCGGATGCGTGGGGTAAAGGGTGACAGATGCTGTCGATGTGGTGTGGCAACAGGTGTCCGTTTACATATGTCACGATACTTTTTATGACAAATAGATAATATAAGACAATGGCAAATTGGTAACATTCGTTTGTTGGCGATTTGCTTATAGATTTCTACGTTAACTTTTTGTACTGAAGGTGCCAATGACATTTCAGTTCTGTTTGGTGCCGTTAACTGTTTTCTTTAAAAGTACATATATACTTATATACTTATATGATGAACACAAACACAATTTAACACTCGCTCCACGTATTGCGTTATGATAAGGAAGGGTGATTCATGCAATATTTAGAGAGTATGTTTTTATTCCAGTAACATCACCGCGGTGAACACAGGAAATGCGTGGCACTCATTGTACCCATGTATCGAATCGAACCGGATGCTGGGCGTGACGAGCAATTGGCTCTCATCGAACTCAAGTACTACTGACCTGTATGGTTGTGTTGAACTACTTACACCATTCAGTGACACATGTGCAGATAGCGGCCGTATATTACCACCTTTAGACCTGCTGCACCCGTCCTCCATAAGGATTGGTGGGTCCAGTACCCCGTGGTGAATTGTCTTGTTTATTCACGTAATGATAACGAGCGTGCGATTAAACGATATTATCAGTGACTGAGATATGTTGCTGATACGCTTTGACAATGTAGTGAGTGAGTGAGTGGATTGACAGGTATGAAACGATGGCACAAGTCATATTTAAAATTTCTAATCATTATGCTCTTGATAATAATCAGTTTTGATCAACAGCCATATACTTTAGGTTGAAGAAGAAAAACGTACATTACAAACTCGTTAGTGCTACGCCGCACTCAGCAATATTCAAGCTATATGGCGGCGGTCTGTAAATAATCGAATCTGTACCAGACAATCCAGTGATCAACAGCATGAGCATCGATCTACACAATTGGGATACGATGACATGTGTCATAACGATTCTGTTAGTCGCCTCTTACGACAAGCATGGGTGACTGAAAACCAATTCTAACCCGGATCTTCAAGAGTAACGAATTCGTGATTCAAATGGTGGAATGGTCTCGTATACCAAATATACTTTAACTTTAAAACGTGTATAAAATTTGCATGTGCGTGCGTGTGTACACAAGAGAAGTAAATCAACAATGTTCCATTATCAAAATTACTCTGTTCAACTCTAACGGGCAAAGAGAGAAAGAGTCAAAAAAGAAAAAAAAGCAGCATAATTTCGAAAAGAGAATTGTTGTTAGTGCGTACATTAACCTCCTGTTGTCAACCGCAGTTATCAGTGAAATGTAGTTCTATTACCTTAACCTTTCTCCCTAACCAGTCGGCATTTAAGCCACCCTTCATTCTTCCCTTCTCCATCTCATGTTTTCTTAATTTTAGTTTTCTAAAACATTAATATTCATATTAGTCATTATTTTGTTTAATAAAAGCGACAAGCCGATTACCATTGGACATCTCCGTAAGAGTGGAGCCCGTTGTACGAGTGCAAGATGAAGCTTATCCGATCGCATACGAAAATATACGAAGTCTTCCGAATGATTACGACCACGTGAGATTACAATATCGCGCGATGTAGCATCGTACGAGCACCTGCAACGTCATAAATACAACCTGCAACCTCATGAGTCCTTCAAACACTCATTACACTTCTCTGAACCCCGGTCGTAGAGGCGGCGCTCCTAACTGACAACATGAATTCTCTGTGGACAGGGATTTGCATTGTGATTTTCACTGTTGTTGTGCGATCCGAATATACATCTTTACAATGGAGCGATTGTGGTAAGAGCATTTCATTCTTTGGTTAACGGCTGGATCGTTGCAATTCTTCACATTATGTCAATTTTTAAAGACACAACAGCTGCACAGGACGGACGCGTTGTACGATTGTGCTGGATGCCGGTCTTAGGGTCTTGGGTGGTCGTAACTCCGGGCTATAACTTAGGTTTAGGTTGTCTTGTACAACGGCACTCTCTTCTCTGTGGTGATTGAGTTTCAAACTGTTCATTTGTTGAACACCAGCTTTTTGTCTTGTAATTCTTACAGACTGCGATTTGTTGAGAAATCTTTTTGTTTGAAAATCTTGCTCCTTCCAAGAAATGACAGACATGTTTCTCACTCATGGTTTTCTGGCTATCCATCCGTATAGGTTTCAAGGACGTTGTCGTTTTCGGCTAGACTAACGCGTAGTCTCTGAATGCATAGTTTTGTGAGCAACAAACAAACCCCTATATATTGAAAAAGAGCCCCACTGTGATGAGAAAACCTGAACCTGAGGAAATCTAGATTTGCTTCTTATAGGGCTTTAGCATTGCAGGGAGGGCTAGGCAGTAGGACAGATTAGGTTTTGGCCAGTCAAATCTGTTTCGGCAGGTAATCAAGAATCATTCTTCTCTAAAGTTCGCGGTTATATCTTTAACATGATATGGTTTGTATTGTCCTCCTTCAACACAAAGCATTTTTGTCATTCCCAGATGATCTGCGGGTGATTTAAAGATGTCTTTTTAAAACAGTGCATGATATATTTTATGGTGTATTCATACATTGAACGATACGTTACAGTTTGAGCAGTCACACACGATAAATTTCGTTTTTTCGGGTACAATTTACATCATTGGAAAGTATATAAATAATAGTGGATATGTGTTTGCAATAATTTCTTACCCCTGTCTACATTGAACTGACTTTTTACTTAAAGTATTGCAGGAAAAAGGAAGTCATTTTTAAATTACATGAAAATTCAAACTAGGTTCACTTTTTTGCCCCTTTGTTGTTTAATTATATTGGTTTATTTAAAATTGTATTTCCGAGTATCTGACGTTATTTATTATGCTGTTGGTTTGTACATCTTTAATAATTGCTGATATATTTAATATTTATTACAGGCATCAGTGTTGGTATGCGTGTTTGGATTTCGCTTTCCCAAAGTTTACAAAGTTTCGGGTTAAAGATTAATGTTCATTGTGTTCATGTAGTATGTTGCGGTAAGAGGGTTTCAAAGTAGATTGTATGGCGAGTTCACATGACGATAGGTTATCTCAAATGATGATAACATCCCCCGTGCCAGTGACACGAAGATATAACACGCACTTGTTATCAAGTAGAGTGAGCGTTTGTCACCGCGTATCGTTTCTGATGACAGTTTCTCACTCCCTTTGTACATACATATCTGTGCTTGACATCGATTTGGATAATAGATAGTCATTCGACGTTGATATGATTTACCTGTGACCTTTCATACATACGTATTTCGAAAACGAGAACGATTTGAATTGTCTTCAGTTGAGTATCATTTAAAACGATAAATAAACATACTTGAAAAGGTAAATATACATACTTGAGGCGGTAAATATATATACTTATTACAGTAATATACTTACTTGAAACGGTATACATACTTAATTGAAAGGTAAATACACGTATTTGAAGAGGTAAGTATAGACATACATACTTGAAATGGTAAATATTATATATTACATATTATTATTATTTGAAACGGTAAATATACCTATTTGAAAAGGTAAATATAATATTTGAAAAGCTAATTTACGTACTTAAAAGGTAAATATACGTACTTAAAACGGTAAGTGCACTTATTTGGCACGGTAAATATTCGTACTTAAAAAAGGTAAATATACTTATTTGAAACGGTAAATATAATTATTTGAAACTGTAAATATACCTATTTGAACCTGTGGATATTCTTATCTGAAACGGCAAATATACGTACTTAAAAAGGTGAATATACTAATTTGAAACGGTAAATATGATTATTTGAAACGGTATATATACTATACGTACTAGTAACGGCAATTGTAAATAACATCGACTATATGTTTGGTATTCAACATAATCAGAGTCTCAGCTATCTTGCGAGGCAGATTTCACTGGGCGTAAATTTAAAATAGTGATGAGTATTGTATCAACGGATCGCTGAAATGCACATATGACACCAGGTGTCCATAAAAAAGCGCGAGCATGTCCTGCTTTACCGGATTTTTAAAATAATGCTTCCTTCGTCTATGGACTTGATCTAATGTGATCATTCATATTCATGTGGAAAATCAATGAAACAACTCGCATCTTCATCACGATATACTTTATGTTATTCGAGGATGTAAAGCACGGAGCCTATACGAGCTACGTTCACTGCCTCAGCTTGCTCATGACGCTTCTTTCAGTGTGACGAATGTGATCCCTGTCGGTTCTAAAGCACAAATACGTAACCCAATAAGTATTACTCTATAGTTACTAACGACGAAAGGTTACACGATTTGGGGTGTGAAAAAGGAAGGTTCGTCAAGATCCTATGAATCTCACATTTATCCTAAATGCCATGTTCGATCCCCGACCGCGTCATACCAAAAGACGTTAAAATATGGTACTTGTTGGTCCCTGCCTGGCGCTCGGCATTAATGGGTACAACAAGGACTGGTCGGCTCGGAGTCAGTATAATGTGTCTGAGTGGGGTATTCATGTGTCTGTGGTGCTCATGATTCTGACGTTCTTTCCCAGGCACTGACCCATCGATAACAGTCCACAACCTTGCCGTCACGCCTATGCCAGTGACGGTTCCTGGGAACATGAGCTTCACGCTACAAGCCTCGTCTACTCGGTCACACCTTAACAGGATGATACTAAAACTGTCGTCCAAGAGGAAGAGTTGGATCGACCTGCCAGTGCCATGCCTGTTCAACGTTGGGTCGTGGTAAGTGGACTTTGTAAACTATCGCCTTCACCTACACGGTTTAAGACGGTATAGGGCACGTAAGTAGGTCACGCCACTTCGCGACACCTTAATACTTCCGGCGACAAACAACGTTTCATACCTTTTCGAATGGTTTTATGGTTGTCAGTTGACAGTAAGAAACCGATACTCCTTGCAGGTATAACAATCCCCAAATTAGCCAACTATTACGACTGTCAAACGCTGTGACAGCCAGGCATGGTTATACACTTGGTCCGGTCTAGTAAAGTCATATTTGGCGGTTGCGCAATTTGGACCAGGACTGGTTTTTGACTATACGCGTGCCACCGCGAATCTGGTACCGGAAGTTTACTGGGCCACGTCTCGCATATCGCAAGATGGCTCGCACAAAGGGAGCCGGGAACCAACTAAGTACTGGAAGTAGCACATCGCGATACATACGGGCCCTATGGCTTCAGGTTTCTGTTAGGTTAAAATAGAAATAACGCCAAAGGTTTGGATTTGCTCTACTTTATTGAAGTACTGTGTCACATGGCTTTGGCAATATATTGCGTCATGAAATAATATTGAAAACAGTATATATACGAACTTAAAAAGGTCATTATTTGGCTTTCTTCATTTCAATCACGAGATATACTCATGCATACATATTGAAAGGTGAGGATCCTCCGTTGTGTATCCCTTGTGATGAGAGAACCATGGTCAAGCATGTCCTGCTTGACTGTGTTGAATTCTCCATCATAAGGGGTAAATTCTTCAATGTAAAAATAATGAAAGATCTATTTACCACTGTTATATTTCATTTAATTATTGGTTTTTAAAAGAAATTGATTTATTTGATGAATTCTGATTAATGTGTTTTGTAAATAGATATATTTTGAAGATTGGTAATTTAGATTAGTAACCTAGATTGTTCGTGGCTGTACCCTCAAAGAGGGTTAAAGTACTGTAAAATTATTGTCCTTCTGAGAGGGTACGTAAGTCCCAAAACTTTCAAAGTAAAATGTAAATTTACCATATTTTAAACGTAGTATTTTTGTTCTTTTAACTGCCGGCTAAAATTCCTACAATCGTCAGCGGCTGAAGGGATGGTGTAAATCCAGCTAGGGTCCATGCAAGTAGCAAAGTAATGTACGTCCCCATGGTTCCTAGTATGGTGATCTACCTTCAGTTGTTGGCGATCTGTAGCCCATGTTTTATACTGTATTGTCTTCTTTCATTGGAACGTTTTAGCTTTGCTCGCTAGTTTTATATTCATAGCTGTGATTCTCTATTATTTTTACTGTCCATCGTTGACAGATTCTAATCTTCAAAATATTTTCACTTTTTATTGTATACATTGTTTTCGTCACGATATGGCTGAGATATTGCCGATGTGACGTTAAATATTAACTCACTCACTCACTCACTTTATTTCAATACGAGAATGTCAAATTGCAAAGAAATACAAAAACGTTGCGGTGCGTATTTAAACATGACTGTTTTGTGTGGATTATATTGTGAGTGGAGGCTTCAGGTTTCTGTGGGGTTATAAGAAAAAAGACGCATGAGAATTGGATTTGTTCTATCTTACTTAAAGGTCACATGCAACGTAAAACACAACTTTGCAGATTCTGATACCTTTCGGTATGGACTTAACGAAACAAATCATCAAAAATGCAAATTCAACTTATAAAGTTGAAATATAACGCGATGAAAAAAAACGCCCGAAATCGGAGTTCAAACGATTCACTAAATTTCCCCCGACTTTTCTGGGGAAAACTGGTTTCAACAGCTGGGCTGCGCTCATAGCACGTGCGCAGTGAAATAGGTTCGCGCAACTTGGAAGCGGACTGTCCGGTGAATACTCGGTGAAGGCTTTGGTGTGAGCTATTTTCCTAATGTTTTGTTGATATCTCACAGGCGCGAGCTTTTTACATATTATGACAGTAAATAAACTGTTTATATAATTTCATTTGTCTATTTCACCACACGTTCTTCTTACCGAGTCACTTTCTCAGTTCGATACTTAAAAGCAATGTCATTATTTAGCGTTGACAGAATTTCTAACTGTGATATTATGTCGTTGTCACAGACTAAACTCAATGTCTTGAGTCTGCCTGCCTGTCTGCTAATGACAATATTCAATACACAACTGCGATCACTGACCACATGCAATAGACCGATCCAGTCTGTCAATCAAAACTGGCGCATGCGTCAAATTTGGCCAATCAGCAGGCCGGGCGCGCTGTGTGGATTTGTCGGACTTATTTTCCGGGGTCAAACGATGCCTCCGAAGCGATGTGCTTCGAATTATGCCATTTACACTCGCTATATTTATTACATATTGCTGCGATTTGATGTGTACCTTTAACAAACCATTACGGTCAAGACAACAAAAATGGAGGCGGATCAAGAAACGCGATAGGCCTAACGATCAGTTAAATGTCTGCACCATCGTTCAGGAAACCTACGTCTGCCTGCTGATGAGAATTTGCACGAATTTCCACACTTTTGCACATGTGCAAAATCATTACCAATTGATGACAACAAAAAGCAGTTTAAGACTTTGCAAGTGTTATAAACACGGACAATTCTCGTAACTACAAAATTGTTTTTGCTTAACGTGTTTAGTCAATTTACTAGGCATTGAGTTGGTACGCCATAAAGCTCAAATGAGACATGCAAGAAAGCCGTGACACAATGTAAACAAATCTCCATTTCGGTTACGGTCAACCGAAATAGCAAAACTTGTTACATGAAAGAAAATGTGGCGGATATTGTCCCCTTCGCTCTTAGATATTCTTCAATTTGTCACACATTTTAGGATGTTTTAAGTTTCATAAGCACAATGAAAGGCCTACAGTATCTTGTTAACAGAGCAAAATATTCGAGGAGTAATATTTTTTATTCAAACGGAAATATTGTCAGTGTCAGCAGTTGCCTATCATGCAATATCCAAGTATCAAACTTAATTCATATGAGTGCCTATAAAACCTTGCTTTAAATATTTCAGCTTTTTTATAAAGAGTTGCATGGGACTTTGAATTTAATTACCTTCCTCCATGTTGATCGAATACGAAAACTATGTGAGAAGAATAGTGATCGACTTTCTGGAGTATTGGACGGAGTGAAATAAAGTGTATATCTTAATTAGGAGAACATTATTTGAAGTTTTGTTACCACATAAATTATTCACATATATTGGTACATTCTAGGAGTAATATTAGAACTGTAATTTTGATTAATTCACTGGAAATGATAGCAAGGTATGTTTTAAGAATCTTGCTTTTTTAGTAAACGTGGAAGGGTAATAAAATTAATAATAATCTAATCAATAATAAATAATTATTTGATTGATTGACATATCAGATTCTTATGATTTTAAGGCAGAACTAGGCAAACAAACACCATACATATCATGGCAGGACAATCACTTGGTATTAACTTAGTTTCTTGGCTCCTGCTTTTAGATGTTTTTTTAAATACTACATTTACTAATAAGATAATTCTGAAAGTGATTGCTAGTATCATAACTCATTTAAGTTATTTCAACATCCAGAGAATTTGAAAAAGCAAAGGCTACGTTTTGGTCAACCCTGGTCAGGCATTATCCAGTCCTGGAACAGAATAACTTACAAAAATCTCAGTTGACTTTTCATGTAACGGAATAAATATTGAAACATATATTTAACCCATATTTGATGTAATTCTTCTGATAAATCATCAGTTTTTTTAGGAGGTTACTAATATTTGAAGACTGAGCCAAAGCTAGTGTTTATTAAGATGATGGATTTGGACAAATTGTTCAAGGTTTGTTGATGGTTATTTGGAAAATGAGTTTCATATTTAATTGCACACTGGTTTGTAGGAGGTGAACGCTTCAGGACATTTTCATGTCTGTTTTCCTAAACCTTTGTTATGACTTTGACCAAATTTTGAATCAACTTTACTATAATTCTTATGACACCAGTAAGTATCTCAGAAAAGGAAATAGATCAAAATCAGTGTTATGTCCTCTAGGGATATGGTCTCAGATCTAATAAAACAAAGATTATCATTGTTTAATTAAGAAGCAATAATGTCAATATGTAATTGTATTGACAAAAACTTTGAACTTAGGATATATTCTTTGCACCTTATTTACACTAGTAGTTAGCAGTTAAACATCTCTGATAAAAAAACAATAGATCTACATTTGTATTTTGTGTAACATTCTACTTCAATGCAAGTTAATTGTTCGGATAACTGTGGATCCTCTGTTCCAAGATTTTGCATCACATGTTTCCTATTTCTGGAAGATGGGTCAGCTAGTGTACAGGTCCAGACTGTATCTTGGATCTTCTTTGTGTTCTGGTGCTGTGACATACCTGTACATAAACGCTGGCAGTTCATGAAGTCCAGTATTGTGGAAGTTTGTATGTAAATTAGGATTCAATAACAAAGTACATATAGAAAAATAAAATGGAAATGATGATTAAAAAAGTTATTTTCTTATATTCAGTGTCATTTTATCATGGTGTACAGATTTTGAAGAGAGAAACTTTACTGAGAATTGCTGCAGATCAGCTGTTGAATATTTGCTTCTGGGTATATCCAGATACGCCCATGGAAACATACTGTTTACAAGCCCAATTACCTTTTCCAGAGTTCCAAATAAGATCAAATAGGTTATGCTGTGATTGATTTGTTTACATTAATTATATACAGACAAATAAGGTGCATGAAGTAGTAGACAGGAAATATTTTCTGCTTTTTATTTACCATTCTCTTAATTCATTAAAAGATAGAAACCCATGTTTTCAGATTATTGAACTAAATTTGAACAACGCCAAAAGATAAGTAAAGGCGCCACGCGCAGTATACGTGTTGATAATCTATTTATAGATACCGAAACGATCTGCAACATGAACATGTGGTTGTGTTCACGAGTTTTATAAAATTATAAATACAAACAACAAAATTCAGTTACCCTTCCCCTGCTAATAGCTGTGACGGAGGTGAATTGCCAGATAGATTAATTGATTCGAAAGAAATTACGCTTCCAACAGTCTCAGCAGCTAGTCGAGACGATTTTTCATCGGGCATGTAACTCATTTTCACTCGCCAGTTGCAATCTGCCAGCTAGAATATATTTAAAATCACATACGTATAACTTGCCTCTTTAAATAACATTCCCAAACGACGGATACCAAAGTATCACAAGCAGAATTCATCAACAACGTTCGCAATCACGTAACGTTTCGCCGGCGCTGACGCCATCGTGATTTGCCAGTGGTTGTCCCCCCTAACGTCAAAAACGAAGTGGGCGGGGCTTATCGGCCGGGACTGGATCGGTCTATTTGAACTTAACACCAATCAGGCTATACACCATAAACAAAATGCATTGATTTATGGCCCGAGTTCGTATTTACAAAACCCAACATCTCTATATATACACACACAATGAGCCGTGAGGGCATCTGCAAATGAACCAGCCGTTACACTTGAGTGCACACCTACCCGCTCTGACTGGGTTCGGTATCCCGGCTGCTTCGCTTCTTGGGAAGTAAACCCAAGTACACAATATTGCACTTTTGATTTGCGATTGTACGCTTATAATTTTGTTTATATGTTTTTTCATAACCAGCAATGTATAATATATGTCATGAATAAGTGATAATTGTGTTTTAATTATGTTTGAGTTTTTGGTTGCATGTGACCTTTAACTACTGTTTCACACCGCATTCGGCAATATGTCGCGTCAAGATTGCGAAAATATATATATTCAATAATCTCATGTTACACAACGCTTGGAAGATGTTCATTCTGTTGGCACATTTCAGCACCTACGACGACACGTGTACACTACTTGCGACGATGCAGCGCGACAACTGGGCTGGCGTCATGAGGAACGTAGGCGGGCAGATCCAGAACATGCTGTCATCCGTCGGCATCAACGACTACTGCCCCTTGCCGATACAGAGACTGAACATCCAGAACTACGTCCTCACCATGCCACCCATACCGTCTATCCTTGCGTTCTTTGCCGAGGTACGTCCAGTTATATCAAAACATGCTTTACACGAGACTGTTATTACCTTGCAGACAGAGAAGGCATTTAGATTTGAACTTTCTTATTCTTTCTTTTACACCTAACGGCACCAAAACATTTCACCAAACAGAAAGCGTCTGTGTCACCTGCACAGAAACTTTACCGTGAAAGGTCTCAAAAACGACTTGATAAGGACTTTATAAAAAATATTTAAAAAATGATGTAAACGTTTCTTACAATCTTTTTGCGATTTGTGTTCGAGAAACCTCCATGAAGTCTGTAATTATTTATAATTTCTACTGCATCAGAACATTTTGGTGTTTATAATCTGAATATGGACTTTATAGAAAGATATACAACAAAATTAATATAAAAGTTTCTATTGAACATTTTGTTATTTGCTTTCGGGAAACCTCCCTAAAGTCTTTAACATTTTCAAATTTCCATTGCAACTTAATATTTTGGTGTTTTGAATCTGCTGTTTCCAGGGTGACTACGAGACGCGAATTCTTGCCTTGGACTACGCCACCAACGACGTCCTCCTCTGCGTCGACCTGAAGATGACGATGAAAGAGCACACCGAGAGATGTACAGATTGGTTTTGCAGGATGCGGAATGCCTTCAGGCCATGAACCAAAGCCTTTGACCCGCAGTCATGAATGTGCTAACTCTACGTAGGGTTAACTGCAGGAATCAAATTTACCAAACACTTATCAACACAACCTTGACGCCCAGGTCAAAACCATAGCCTCGAGTTGACAAAGATGACTTACTGTGCTTCAGGACTTATGGTTACACGTTCAAATAGTTTACATTCACAGCTGCCATGTCACCGTCGTGATGTCTGATAACAGTCGTTGTCTTGTTTGACACGACATCATGCGAGCGATCTGAAATCTTATTACTGTAGCTCCCAATGGGAGAATGGGACCTTTAAGCTTCAAATGCCCAGGATGAATTATGTCATTACTTAAACCTCAACACAACATTTGTTCATAATACATATTTAACACTCATTAAGTCATCCGTATGTTTTCATGTGTTCCTCATCTCGAACACCAACCAGCGAGAGGGGGGTCGGGCGAAGTAAAGAGATGTTTTTCACATATTGTGTCATTTATCAAGGAAATGTTAAAATTTAGCTCACTTGGTAATAGTCTTGTAATTAATTTATAGTGTAGGTCGAATATCTTTTGGAAATATTTTATAATAAATATTGACGAAGAAAGTGAGTGAGTTTAGTTTTACGCCGCACTCAGCAATATTCCAGCTATATTGCGGCGGTCTGTAAATAATCGAGACTGAACCAAACAATCCAGTGATCAACAGCATGAGCATCGATCTGCGCAATTGGGAACCGATGACATGTGTCAACCTCGTCAAGCTGACCTATTCTTCCAGTGTGCGAGGATAAAACTATTTATATTTATCACATAAGGGCATATGTTTCAACACCGTTGGGAAAAACAGAGTCAGTTGCTAATTATATTTTATTATTTCATGTCGGTATGTATAATTATGACGGGTGGGAGATTGAATAAAGCCTTACGCAAAGGTTAGATCACAGAATAGCTGTTGTAATATGTACATGCTCTGTGTACTGAACTATTTCAACGTCTGTTTTGAAGAATCTCTTTTTATTTATTGTTACACTTAATGTAGTGAAGATCAGGATGTATGTACTCATACTCTTCATTAAGTCCATTTACAATTAAATCACTGTAAATATCTTTTGCTCACTGTGCTGTTTCAAAAGAAATAAAATTATTCCAAATGTGAACTGTGTCTTGTCCACTATAACGTACATGAACATATCTGGAACCTGGAGCTCCCCACAGATCATTACTAGGATCCCGGTGTCCCCTGTCGTGATATTGCTGGAATATTGTAAGAAGTAGCGTAAAACAATACTCACTCATTATTAGGATCCCGGTGTCCCCCGCAGAGATATTGCTGGAATATTGTAAGAAGTAGCGTAAAACAATACTCACTCATTATAAGGATTCTGGTGTCCCCTGTCGTGATATTGCTGGAATATTGTAAGAAGTAGCGTAAAACAATACTCACTCATTATCAGGATTCTGGGGTCCCCGCCGAGATTTGTTGGAATATTGTAAGAAGTAGCGTAAAACAATACTCACTCATTACCAGGACTATTGCTGGGATATTGTAAGAAGTAGCGTAAAACAATACTCACTCATTACCAGGATTCTGGGGTCCCCCGCAGAGATATTGCTGGGATATTGTAAGAAGTAGCGTAAAACAATACTCACTCATTACCAGGATTCTAGGGTCCCCCGCCGTGATATTTGTTGGAATATTGTAAGAAGTAGCGTAAAACAATATTCACTCATTATAAGGATTCTGGTGTCCCCCGCAGAGATATTGCTGGGATATTGTAAGAAGTAGCGTAAAACAATACTCACTCATTACCAGGATTCTGGTGTCCCCTGTCGTGATATTTGTTGGAATATTGTAACAAGTAGCGTAAAACAATACTCACTCATTATTAGGATTCTGGGGTCCCCCGCAGAGATATTGCTGGGATATTGTAAGAAGTAGCGTAAAACAATACTCACTCATTATTAGGATTCTAGGGCCCCCGCAGAGATATTGCTGGGATATTGTAAGAAGTAGCGTAAAACAATACTCACTCATTATTAGGATTCTGGTGTCCCCCGCAGAGATATTGCTGGGATATTGTAAGAAGTAGGGTAAAACAATACTCACTCATTATTAGGATTCTGGGTTCCCCCGCAGAGATATTGCTGGGATATTGTAAGAAGTAGCGTAAAACAATACTCACTCATTATTAGGATTCTGGGGTCCCCCGCAGAGATATTGCTGGGATATTGTAAGAAGTAGCGTAAAACAATACTCACTCATTACCAGGATTCTGGGGTCCCCCGCAGAGATATTGCTGGGATATTGTAAGAAGTAGCATAAAACAATACTCACTCATTATTAGGATTCTGGTGTCCCCCGCAGATATATTGCTGGGATATTGTAAGAAGTAGCGTAAAACAATACTCACTCATTATCAGGATTCTGGTTTCCCCCGCAGAGATATTGCTGGGATATTGTAAGAAGTAGCGTAAAACAATACTCACTCATTATTAGGATTCTGGGGTCCCCCGCAGAGATATTGCTGGGATATTGTAAGAAGTAGCGTAAAACAATACTCACTCATTATTAGGATTCTGGGGTCCCCCGCAGAGATGTGCTGGGATATTGTAAGAAGTAGCGTAAAGACAATACTCACTCATTATTAGGGGGTCCCCCGCAGAGATATTGCTGGGATATTGCAAGAAGTAGCGTAAAACAATACTCACTCATTATTAGGATTCTGGGGTCCCCCGCAGAGATATTGCTGGGATATTGTACGCAGATATATTGCTGGGATATTGTAAGAAGTAGCGTAAAACAATACTCACTCATTATCAGGATTCTGGTTTCCCCCGCAGAGATATTGCTGGGATATTGTAAGAAGTAGCGTAAAACAATACTCACTCATTACCAGGATTCTAGGGTCCCCCGCCGTGATATTTGTTGGAATATTGTAAGAAGTAGCGTAAAACAATACTCACTCATTATTAGGATTCTGGGGTCCCCCGCAGACATATTGCTGGGATATTGTAAGAAGTAATGTAAAACAATACCTCACTCGTTACCAGGAAATCCTGTTCCAGTCTGATAGAGATGTAACACAATCCGTACAAGAAGATACTGCCCCACCGCTGGTTCAGATATTTATCCACTATTGAATCTCGGGACATTCATCCACCTTTCGTACATATATTTCAACACACTCCTATTGATCACGTTAACTGCCACAAGCTAATTTGCATATCACGAGCCCGGATTTTCTCTTGTATGTAAACAAACGCGCTTATCCTGAAATCAGAATAGACTTGGCAGATTCAGGCTATTCGGTACGCTATAGGTTTATTTTGTATAGTTAGATTGGCATTCTGCTAACTACGACAATGAGTGAGTGAGTGAGTTTAGTTTTACGCCGCCTTTAGGAACATTGCAACAATATCACTGTGGGGACAACAGAAATGGGCTTCACACAATGAACCCATTTAGTGACTGTCAAATTGATTTATCTGATAACATTGATTACATCACCCGAACACAACCACCCTTAGAAACAACATGCAAAATGTGTGGCATGAACGTGCTTCACACATGCACTCTGATCGGTGTAAACCTACCAGTAATCATCCCTCTGGTACATCAAGCGGGTCCTAACTTCAGTTTTATAGATGATAATGCCCGTCCATGGATGATAATGCTCGTCCATGGATTATAATGGCTAAGAAAGAGTTGTTAACGATGTTGTTTAGATCAACAACATCACACATATGGACTGGCCAGCAAGGTCATTTGATCATAATCCCATTGAACATGCTTGGGACATGATTGGAAGTCGTGTTTACGGTCTCCATGTTCACCCCCACACTGTGGATGACCTTGAGCAGGTGTTACAGAGAGAATGGCAGAACATTCCACAACAGCAACTTTATCGGCTCATTTGGTCAATGCCAAGACGTGTAGAAGCTTGCATTTGTGCTCATGGTGGTCATACGCGTTCCTGAACACTGCTTCACTGTCCAAAAATGACTTGAACCTTAATGTTAACATTTTGCTCCATCAATGCAGCACATTTTGCACGACTGTTTCACGGGTACATGCTTTTGATGATTTGTAAGTCTATTATTGCTCAATACCCTTTCATTTCATTTGTTAATGGTGTATACATATGTTTCACCCTTCTATTGCATTTATTTAGATGTGAAGACATATGTTTATAGAAATGACATATGCAATATCTTGATTAGACTGTGGGGACCAGACGACTCGTCACGCGGCGGCTAACAGTGGCTGAGGTACAAGAATGGCGCATGGATCTCCGTGTAGAAGTGCCAAGTAAAGGACAATTGTATATTGTTCCCTGTCGCGTCGAACAAACATGCGCAAATATAGATGCATGTGTAACTTCCGTACTATTTTTAGACAGGCCTTTCTTTGACTCATAACCATACACCCAGGCATCCCTGCTAAGACTTCCAACTAACCGACCATCCAGGCACCAAGACACACCTTCTAGATTGCCATCTAGCCATCATCAAAACTCTCACCTTACAACCCACATAGCCATCACCCAGAGTACTCCAAGTCATTTCCGTGACTCCCACATAGGCACCACCAAGACTCCCATCTTACAATCCACATAGCCATCACCCAGACTACTCCAAGTCATTACCGTGACTCCCACATAGGCACCATCAAAACTCCCATCCTACAACCCACATAGATATCACCCAGACTACTCCAAGCCATTACCGTGACTCCCACATAGGCACCACCAAGACTCCCATCCTACAAACCACATAGATATCACCCACACTACTCCAAGTCATTACCGTGACTCCCACATAGGCACCACCAAGACTCCCATCCCACAACCCACATAGATATCACCCAGACTACATCTAGCCATCACCCGGACTCCCATCCCACAACCCACCTATCTATCACCCAGACTACATCTAGCCATCACCCAGACTCCCATCCTACAACCCACATAGATATCACCCAGACTACATCTAGCCATCACCCAGAATCCCATCCTACAACCCACATAGATATCACCCAGACTACATCTAGCCATCACCCAGAATCCAATCCCACAACCCACATAGATATCACCCAGACTACATCTAGCCATCACCCAGAATCCCATTCTACAACCCACATAGATATCACCCAGACTACATCTAGCTATCACCCAGACTCCCATCCTACAACCCACACAGATATCACCCAGATTACATCTAGCCATCACCCAGACTCCCATCCTACAACCCATCTATATATCACCCACACTACATTTAGCCATCACCGAATTCGATTTTTCACGTGGGTACCTTGTCAAGACAATTTTTACTGTCACCTGCCGTAAATACTACTGAAACATTACGAAAGAAATGCTTGAAACTTGACCCCAAAGGATATTTGATGACGATGACAACACAGGGAGTGCAACTGGTCAACATTTGAGATAAGTAGTCAGTAGGTTTATTCGTCATATAACTGGGCAAATGAAATAATGATCACGAGGACGCTGCGAATACTTCAGTTTATGGATCTCAACAGATGTCGCGAAATATAATTGTTTTAATGGGCTTTGATAGTTGTATTCTTTTATTTCAATTTGATTTCGAAATTAATAACAGATTTTGCACTTCAGCAGATGTTGCCAAATGTTTTTCTTATGATTTAAGATGTTCTAAATTACACTCTGCGTATGTATTTTGAGATTTTCAATTAATGTTTGTGTTCAGTTTGTGAATATAGTCGACAAAACGCTTTCCATAGTTACATGAAATCCATCACTCGATTCCGAGTGTATGATATGTATATGTGTATGAACCAATCATATCGTGAATGTGTATATGAATAATATCCAGTCCCAGTTGTGGCGCCGGTCACAACCTCATGTAAACACAAGTCTAGTATTCCCCTGAAATACAAAGTGTGATCTGAATGTGTGTTTCCTGCATTTGGTTATTTGAATAGCAGGAATGGAATCCAGGAATGGATAACCGACTATCACTAGTCATTTTGACGCGACAGGGAGTTCCGTCTGTACACCCTTGCCCTGCCACCTCAGATGTCCATATGAAGACCAAAACACCATCCCAATCTAGTCTCCTGCACCGTAGATGCTGTCTACACCAGACACGACGTGCCTGTTGGTGACGTTGGATCAAGCGTGGAGCTATCGCAGGCTGTCGGGGCCGAATGTTGCGCTCCCTCGGAAGGTTCCGTACAATCATGGAACTGATTGTACGTAAGCCAGCAATGTTCCGAGCAGTCTAACTGGCAGTCTGGAATTGATTCCTTAGATGGGTCAGCCGAATATGGTTGTCTTGCTGACGTGACGTCACGCGTGAACGGCCAGTCCGAGGCAAATCGCTCGTGTTCATTTTATCTTGAAAACGTGACATCGTGTTTGGATGGACACCAAAAATGTCTGGCCACTTCTATGTGGTACATTCAAATCTCCATCATACCCATAGCTGGGAGACGCTGATTTTCTGTAAGCAGTGACGTACGCGCAGTTTAGGTTGAAATTAACGTGTATACCACAACATTAAAAGGCTAGAGAATAATCAACTGTTCTTCAATTTTCAATATCAGGTGTGTGAATTTCAGGTGTCAAAAAGCATGCATGCGAATTCATTGTGCACGTGCCAAACGAGATACATGACAACCAGTTAACATATAGTTTCATCTTGAGAACGAGCTCATGACAGTATGGTGTGTAGCGATGCAGTACATGTACTTTACCAGTCAATAAGTTGAGACAATCTGGTGTCCGAAAGAAATAACCTGTATGCGAAGTATTCAAATTTACAGTGACAAAATCAGTATCTGAAAATAGTGAGCAATATGACAGCTATATGGCGGCGGTCTGTAAATAATCGAGTCTGGACCAGACAATCCAATGATGAACGGCGTAAGCATCGATCTACGCAATTGGGATACGATGACATGTGTCAGCGAGCCTGACCACCCGATCCCGTTAGTCGCCGAAGACCAATTCTAACCCGGATCTTCACGGGTCATGAAAATAGTAGATTGTTCAGATAACGGAGTTAGAGTTGTGACACTACTTTATGACGACCCGCAGAGTAGGTAACATCAGGCACATAAAATCAATTCATAAGCATAGTCAGCAAAAAAATAGGGTTACCCTAGATATTCGCTGTAACCACACACCATTCCTATCCTGCCTGTTATACTGATGCATTGATTCTGTATTAATTCTCGGATAATAATTGAGAAACGGAAGATTATTCGTTAATGATAGTGACATATTTATCCCATGCATGTCCGATATCTGGAGTGAACGTCCTTGACAGCATCATTCAACTGAGAATAACAGGAACCTGGGTCTGATACTGTGATAGCAGAGCTTTTAAGCATTCATCCAGATAGTTTAATACCATATTTGGAACATATTTCTAATAGTTTTTTAGACAGATCATATTTTCCACAGTTTGCACTCTTGTTCCCCATGGGGCGGCGGGATGGCACACTGGTTAAAGAGTTCGCTCGTCACGCTGAAAACCCGGGTTCGATTCCCTACATGGGTACAATGTGTGAAGCCCATTTCTGGTGTCCCCACATGGATATTGTTGGAATGTTGCTAAAGGCGGCGGAAAAATAAACTCACTCACTCACTTGTTCCCCTTCACATATGGACGCGAGATGTTAAGATTATAGAGGCACATAACTTCTATTTCTGTATCCATTCCAAAACCATCATGACACATGATTACATGGCAGATCGTATAATAGCTCAATAGAAGGGGACACCTTTGTCTATCAGTAGGGGTGGGTGGGGAATTATATGCATTATTTGTAGATTTTGCAAAGTCTATTTACACAGCAAAAGGGCCCCTTTGTAAAGACATGGGCTTAGTTTCAGCATTAGAATGTTGTTGTGTTCTTTAATTTGAAATGTGAAGGTGTGTTCAGAAATATATGGCTGTAGTGGATAGTTGTCCGCCAAGGGTGTACACTTAGTCCCCTTTTTTTTTTTCATAAACGAATTAGCCGAGTTCATTCAAAATAATTGCACTGGTCGTGTACAACCAGACCCTATAAATATTCTATCCTGTTTTCTTTTTCTTTTCGCATATGATGAGCACAACATCCTTTTTTTACAAACAAATAAATGAGTGAGTGAGTTTAGTTTAACGCCACACTCAGCAATGTTCAAGCTATATGGCGGCAGTCTGTAAATAATCGAGTCTGAAGCAGACATTCAACAGCATGAGCATCGATCTGCGCAATTGGGAACCGATGACATGTGTCAACCAAGTCAGCGAGCCTGACCACCCGATCCCGTTAATCGCCACTTACGACAAGCATGGGTTACTGAAGATCAATTCTAACCCGGATCTTCACGGGTTGAAACAAATAAATGTATTGAAACTTGTTGTGGTCGAAACGTAATGGACATACGAATACAACTGTTGTTTCTGATATTAGTTATAACATTTTGAGAAAAGAAATAGAAATAGTTCAGGACAGACTTTTGTCAATATTGTTGTAGCTAATAAGATCTATTTATGGAAACAGGTTGATACAAAGGCATTAAAAGTACACAATGTTGACTTTGTAGAATATGGAAAACATTCGGGTGTTAAACATATATGTAGAACATACTATATATCCTGTGTATAATGGTTTAAGATTAACCATTTATAGAACTATTTCAAACAGAATCGAAATGTTAACCCATTTTGTAACATAACAACTTCTGTACGGAAATAATCTATGTTAATTTTTCACCCGTAAGAATGTGGTTGAATTTGCCTGGATGGACTTCCATAGTAACATATTCGTTGATTCACAGATTCGTAGATACACTGCTTCCAATTAATTACAATCCAGTACATTTATTAACATTGAATCCACCACATGTGCTGTTTCTGTTGCAAGTAAATGTGAAGAGTTATGTACGGAAGCATAGTAGGGCCACGGTGAACTTTTAGTCTCATTATCTCCTACGCAGGAGACTCTATGTCCTACGTAGGAGATATTAAGTCCTAATTAGGAGATAGTGAGACCAACATTATTTTTCCCCGTGGCCCTGCTACGCTTCCGTACTAATGCGACAGGTGTCATTTGTGTGCATTTCGAATTCAGGTGTTCTCACTATGAGCAATCTTCTCACGTTGCAAGTACTTACAAGCATTTGGCACGATGACAACGGCACAGACATGACTACGCATACATACGTGCAGTTAGACACCTGTCACCGTCATACCTCACCCTCACCCGTGTCTAGATGATCTTACTTACCTGGATCATAGCATTGCGTTGACGGTTTTGAGTTCTTTCCCTTCCTTGGTTTCAACTTTGGCCCAGCCCTTCGTTCGCAGCTTTACCGTTATTATATACTTACAAGTTGGCAGTCAGAGCACGATTAATATGGGGAACCAGATCTCTCAAAAGGAAACGGAAAAATGTAAACTCCAGAAGTTACGCCACAAGTATATTGAACATCTAATACAACTGGAACCTGCGTTGAAGGAAGATGATTTACTAGATGGCGTGGAGTCAGATAGTACCCTTGACAAGATCGACCCTGGAAGATACGATTTACCTTTCGAAAACCTGGCGTTTGAAGGAGGTGGAGCTAAAGGACTGGGACATGCAGGAGCGGTGAAGGTAGTACAAACTCCCGTGAAATGGGATTATGTTTGGGTCGCCATAAATGTACACATTTTCATTACTATTTTTTAAACACAGTAAACATTAGTGTGGGTTAGTCATTTTTAGCAATTACATTGGGAGAGCCTCCATGGCTATGTTATGCTAAAATACGTACTATTGCGTATCTTTCTATCCTGTGGTTAGTCTGTATAACAATTTCCATAATATTCTTTAATACGGCATTAATTCAAAAGACCGAATTGTTTAATAAATGTACAAAGTGCACCGAAATTCAATCTCCTTTGTCTGTTTAACGCATACAGCAAATATTCGGTGTACCCTCTCTTATCATAAACTTGCCCCACCCCCACGCCACCCCCACTCATCATCATCTCACCTTCCACCCCAACCACTTGTCCTGGTGTGCATTCTGTCACGTGTTAACCATCATCCTGTATCATTTCGACCATTGTTTACCAACTATAATCAAAATGGCTGCCGTCGTCTTCAACTTAACCACATACTTTCGCCTTCTGTCCGTTGTCCACACAGTCCTGAAACCATCAGCCGGGGGTGCAGGCTACCGCTCTTGGACCTTATTGTTCCCCGATTAAATACATAAATGTAATCCTGGCACAGCTGGCTGGCTGGGATGATCATCATTTCAGTGCCATTGACCCTTCTACCCGGACCCGGTTAGAACTGTTCTTCAACAATCCATACTTGTTGTAGGAGGCGACTAACGAGGTCGGGTGGTCAGGCTCGCTGACTTGGTTGACACATGTCATTGCATCTCAAATGCGTAGATATATCCTCAAGATGTTGATTCCTGGATTGTCTAGTCCAGACTGGATTATTTACAGACTGTCGCCATATAGCTGGAATATTGCTGAGTGCAGCGGTAAACAATCACACACACAAGAAAGAGCTGCCTTGTCGAACCCACCAAGAGCTTTTTCTGAGACCAAACACTGCAGCTTTCTCGATTGCCCAGAATGTCTGAAAGTATGTGTTACTGGCAGCAAACTCAGGTACCCTAGTCAGTCCAGAGATTGGAATTTACAAGTCCTAAAGCACCAAGATCAATGACATTGTCATTGTTGTCATTGGTAGAAATCGAAACTGAAAAGAGGACGCAGAATTCAAATAAATCTATTCTGCCCCAGCCAGCTGTCCTCCATTAGAGGAACAGCCAGGTGTACGAGAAAGATGGAGACGGCACAGCACAGGTGAATGAATCAATAACTTTGTCGGCACTTGTGCACGCGCTTCTCGTACACCTGGCTGTTCCTCTCTTTGCATTCTTCCATCGTAACAAATAGTGAGCTGTGTCAATATTTTAATGATAGATTGTTAAACAACTTTTTTTATTTTCAGGAAATAAATTCTGCAAAAAAATCACAGAGTTTTGGTCTGATGTTTTTGTCATGATCAGAGTTTCACAGAGTATCAGATGTATAGTAGTTTTCAGTTAGATTGCAATTCATCGGCCCGATTTTGAGCCAAACTGTCTGTGGGCATCGCTACATTATAGATCACAGAACGTGGTATAAGTAGAATGCCAATATGAAGTCAGTGTGTATACTCAGGATGAAATCTGCAACAAAAAACAAGCATCAGCATCGACTCTAAAACCTGAAGACAAGACTGTCGTAAGTCTATGTTAAAGTATGGGAGTTACGATCACCTTAGCGCTACGATCGCCATGAGGAACGGGACTCTGGAGTTTCCCGTCGATGTAACACATTTGGGGGCAAGGTTGAAGCAAGAAGTAGGCATCCCATTGGCACCAGCCCTTCTCCTTTTCTCGCGTGAGTGAGTTTAGCTTTACGCCGCACTCAGCAATATTCCAGCTTTATGGCGGCGGTCTGTAAATAATCCAGTCTGGACCAGACAATCCAGTGATCAACAGCATGAGCATCGATCTACGCAATTGGGATACGATGACGTGTTAACCAAGTCAGCGAACCTGACCACCCGATCCAGTTAGTCGCCTCTTACAACAAGCATGGGTTTCTGAAGATCAATTCCAACCCGGATTTTCACGGGTCTCCTTTTCTTGATAAACTAGGTAGGTAGGTAGGTTTATTTAATTCCTCCAGATTTGGAGATACAAAGTTAATTGAATATTAAAAGCTTAAGTTGTTAGCCGCATGTGTTGAAATTTTATGATAGATTAATTCTTAGGATTCTTATAAGATTAAGTCTTTAGAAAGTGAAACTGGACCAGTCGATCCCAGATGCAAACTGTCCGACCAGTAGCAGCAGTTGTATGGTGTCAGTGTGATACGTGTGACGCCCGATCAGCACTTCGGTCAGCGTTCTCTGTTCTATATTGTATAACAGAACATATGTGTCTACACCGAATATATCTAAAATATCCAGCCAAATAATTTCTCGTCTTGCGCTTACATCATTGTCAGTACAAAGGTGAAGAATGTGGTGTACAAGACCATGAACAATGCAGGAACACATTGGGCACTGTTCAGTTCTCACTGGGTGCTTGATAAGAGAGAGAGTAGCTTTTCGCCTCTCTAGCCTGTGTGGGTGATGTCTACTCATGGTCTATAGATGTGGAATATACACACTATGATTGGTGAGGAACAGCGACATGCTTGCATCAGTCTCCACCCGGGACACGAGTTCATTAGTTTCAGTTTTGAAAACATGCTTCTTCACTTGGGTTTTCCAGGTGTTTGGGTTTGGGAAGGAACATATGCTTCTGCTTATGGTTGCAGTGATCGGCAGGATACCTATAAGTGAAAGCACCATATCAGTTCTAGTTCTTGTCGGTAACCCTTCGATTATCTTCAGGCAAAATCTGTGCGCCCTTTCCAGCTGCAGACAGGAACCTGTAGACATGTTATACAGTGTTTCACAGCCGTACGGTGCACGTGGGAGAACAATTGACTGATAGATCTTTGCTGCTGTGAGTGGGTGAAGTCCATTTTCATGAATACCAATGTTTCTGGTGGCAACGAAGGTTGACTTTATTTTTCTGCAGATGGTGTCAACCTGCTCCGTTGACTTCATGTTCTTGGATATTGCAGTGCCCAGGTGAGTATGCAGGTCAGTCTCCTGCATTGGCTTGTTTCAAGGGACCAAGTTCTTATGGAACGTTTGTAGGCTGCAGTTGATTCGTTAAAGACACTCTTCTTTGCACTGTACCAGAACCGTCATTTACTGCTGTACGCAGCACAGATTGCCAACAGAGAGTCTAAACCCTGTTTCGTAAAGGACAGCAGTGTTATGTCATCAGCTTGAGCAGGTGCAGCACATGTGTTAATACAGGCTCCAGACAGTGAAGCAGAAAGACTCTTTAGCAGTTCGTCAAGATATAACTGATACAGCCAAGGTGATAGTACACCTCCTTGCCATGTCCCTTGTCAAACCACTTGCTTGAGTGACCCCTGTGAATAACACAGCTCTGCATAGTGTCATACATTGATAGCATAACATCAAGGAGTACTTTTTGAGTCCCAATGTGTCTCAGCTTTAAGAAGAGGCCATCATGCCAAACACAGTCAAATACTTTTTCAGCGTCAAGGAAGCAGCTTTAGAGTTTAGTGTTATTTTCCACAGAATATGCTATGCACTCTCGGAGAAGAAATGAAGTCATTGTTGAGTCTATTCCACTTCTAAAGCCATGCTGAAGCGGTGATGGATTGTGAAACTTCTACAGACGTGACAGTAGTACTCGTTCAAATAATTTATAGATAGCAGGAAGAAGTGTTATTGCCCTGTAACTATTTGGTAACATTTTGGGTTTGCTGCCACCTTTGTATAGTGTAATGATAACTCCACGTTTCATTGATGGCGGCACATAGCCTATAGTACGGAAGGCATTGAACAGTTTGGTAAGACAGGCGACTAAACCAGGACCCCCATGAAGTGGTCACATGATCAATACCAGGTGCTTTGCCTGTGTTCAATTTAGAAAAGGCTGAGTACAGTTCGTTGGACACGACAGGAGGCACTGCTGTATCTGCACACACTGGAGAACGGATCTGTTCTTCAACAGAGTCCTCATGATTTGAGTCAAAGGAAGGATCTTCTAATGGCGTATACAGTGGTTTAAAATATTCTCTCCATCCATCTGCAATGCCTTTAGGATCGCGAGTGATAATTCCTTCTTGAAAACACATGTCACAACCCGTGTCGGCTCGGTGACCTTTTCTTCTAGAACTTATAGCCTTCTAGAATGCAGACTGATCCATTTCCGCATATGCGTCAATCTCGTTCAAGACCTTGCATCTTTGGTCTTCAATGTTCTTTTTTGAGACCTTCTAAATTCTCTTTTTAGATCTTTATAAGTCCTATATATGATATGACTGCCACCTCTTGGTTTCTCATCTCCAATCCAAGACGTTCTAGCACAACGCATTGCTTTGTGGAGATGTTTCAGCTCTGTAGACCAGTATGGCTTTAGATGGGGACTATATTTCTTCTTAGGAACATGCTTGTCTGATGCATCAATGATACATTTAGTCAGTGTGTCGCAATACTTGTTGACGTCATCTACTGAGTACAGTGCAGTATGGCAATGACCACTTTCAGTCAGTAATTGCGTCAGGTCAGTTGCGTAGCCAGAACAGAGTTCTTCTCTACTTAACTTCTTCCAGTTGTAGGATATCCTGTTGAAGTCTGGGTGTTGATACGAAAGTTCCTGGCTTACTACCAGACAAGCAGCAAAAGGCCTATGGTTGCTGACATTGAGCTGGTGATCCTCTAGGATTTGACATGAAGAAATGCAGTCGAGTGTACTCTCCGGGATAACAATGTGATCAATAAGCGAGGAGTTAGTACCATCAAAGGACACATATGAGCAATGCGATCCCTTACACAGGGCCGAGGTAGTAACAGCAGTAAGATTATTTCTGGATAAAAACTTGGCTTCAGCTGCCTCTCTTCCGCTAGAAGCATCTTTAACTATTTTGCAGTTTTAATCACCCATGAAGATGATAGTTCCTTCATCCGTATAACGGTCACAGAAATTCCAAAGTGCATCTATGTAATCTATATACATTTGAACATTTGAGTTTGTAGATGGTAAGTATACTTGAAATATGAAGACGCTCACTTCAAGTCCAGAATGTATGTGAGTACCAACTATTCTATCATCGGGTATATCCAGGACAGTAACAAGTCGTTTGTGCCACATTACAGCAACACGAGCCTTGCCAACCTTTCTGTTACTAGGCAGCTTTAAGTCAGTGTCGCTTTACACCAAATGTTTTATAATCATTACTGATTGTGTCCAGGAAAGGCAAATCCTTTTCAAACAACCTATGCTCACTGATACCACAGATATCCACATCATATCTTGTTAGGATATCCCGTAGATATGCAACACTAATTGTTATTCCAGTAGCATTCCATGTGAGAAGATTGAGGTTATTCAGTAGCATCATTCAAACTGGGCGAGGTAGGCTTTGGAGCTCATCCAGGGCCGGCATGTTCTTTGGCCAAAACGCTCGCGATTCCAGTTTGGGGACATCAGAGGTATGAATGTTGATTCGAGCTGAAACAGTTCTTTTCCACCTACTGGACATAAGGCGAATTATTGTTGTTTTTACACCACGAGTGGAGAGGTATTTAGCAATATCGTCTGGCTTGACATCTGGAGCTATTCCACTAAGGAAAAACCGTTTGACACGCAGTCTGTCTACACCTCTGAATGTCATATTGATTTCAATTGTATCTAGATTCTGTAGCAATAAGTTGGATTCCTGAGCTGAACGTGTTTGATGCTGTGAAGACCGTGCACTGTTGATTGTCGTGTGGACTGTGGTTTGTGCTTCACGTGGACATGTAGAAGTGTTATCAAATTCTTTAAAATTTTCTTCTTTAGATCCGGGATTGACAATGTCATCTTGTGGCTTTGATGAGACAGCTTGTACCTCCTCGTGTGCGTTTGCAGTGGACTCTGGGCATATGTTTTGCTTGAGGTTACCATTACTCTTGTGTTTCTCATATTGATGTAAAACTATGTCTCGATGGCGTTGGCTCTTGAACGTATATTCATTTGCTGTTGCCACAAATTATTTTGACAGTGCACTTTCAGCAGGGCAGTGTTGTTACATATATCTGTAATTGATCGCTTCATTTCAGCAAGATCACATAATACCTGGCCCATGCGAGGCGTGCTCTGTACAGGTGTTGTACATGTCTCTATTGTCTTCAAACAGTAAGACTGGCTTACGCCATTGTCTAGATACACTGAGCTACTTGTTTGGGTTGTATGTGAATCTTTGTTTAC